TGTTTACCAGAGAACAAACTAGCTGGAAGACCTTTTCACCCCGCAGCAGAAACAATCTTTTTACTCAGCAGCACACAGAATCAGGAAGAGAAACCCAGATCTGCATGACTAACACAGCAGGATCAAAGTAGCCACAGGCGGCAGACTCGAAGGCCAGCGAGAACAGCACAGCTACCAGCAGGGAAGAATTTCAATACATTCTCCTGCCTGTTTCTCCAGCACGCCACTCCTGAGTAACTCCTTCTTCCTGTCACAACCCTGCATCCGGGACACCTTTCCCTCTTACGGTATGTGAGGCAGGTGAACACACGCCCAGACCTGCTTGCTACATCTGAAACCTCCCATGGCTGCCTAAGATGTGGTTCTGCTGGGAAGAGGGCATCCCTCAGGGTTTACGGCTCCGCCGTACCAGGTGGGTCTGCAGATCTGCAGCATTACCTGTGGGCCTTTTAGAAATGCAGGATTGCAGGTCCTCGCCCAGACCTGCTGTGCCACAGCTTTCAAGCTAGGAAGACCTGGTGGGAGCCGGGCACAGGGTAAGACAGACAGGGCCCTCCCTCAGAACGCCTGGAGGAGTGCTCTGCTGCGCACTCAGGAACTTACATCTGAAATAAGCATCTTGAGTGACTCTGGGCCAAACAGGCTTCACACAACATTTTCAAACGACACCTGCTTGTTGGTCCAAGTGGTATTACATTCTTTGTAGTAATCTGAGTCTTCTACTAAAATGGGACATTCTGGCAGGCTCAAGTGTAAAGAAAAACTTGAAAAAGTCAAAAGCAGAAGTTAATACATTTAATGAATTTTTAAAAACCAGGATGTGCAAACTAAATTGCAATGACTAGGAGTCGGGATCTTCTGGGGAATGTGTTTTTAACCTCACAACTCGGTCTAGTTGGGACACTGGGAGTCTGTGCCTCCTCTGAAGGAGGCCTCACTTAAGGAATCATCGCTACTGCAAATCCGGTTACCGACCACAAACGGCTGCCCGAGGGTGCTCGTTCTGTTTGTGTCTAGATGCCCCCTCAAACCTCCCACAGTCATGGGGGTAGGCTCTTTCAGAGGGGGCTGAATCTAGAGTGTATAACTGATTCGCAGTGCAATGCTGCGATTAAGGGTCCTGATTAGGGCTGGGTGATTTCTGGGTCAGTCCACTGGCTGGGCTGGCTCTGCCCTAATCCCAGAAGGCTGGATAAGAAAAGGGGCAGGAAGCAGCTTGTTTTTCCCTTTCTGCTATGGCTGCTTTTGTGTCCTCCACCACCATGAACTGCTGCCCTCTGCCACAAGCCACCTTGCCTCAGAGTCAGCCAGTTACGGACTGAAACCTCTATTAACTGGGAGCTAAACAAACCTTCCCCCCTTTAACTTTGGAGATCAGGTATTTTGTCTCAGCAACAAGAAAAGTAACCAACAGGCACCTAGAAGACAAAGAAATCACCCAAGATAGGGTAAACAGATAAATCCACGGTTACTATTTTGGTTTTTTCTTCCACATTTACATACATCCAGACATATATAGATGTATTTTATGGTTAACTAGAGTCGGATGGTATATCCAGTCTTGTACATTTTTTCACGTAACATTTTTATTACATGGGTATTTTCCCAAGTTACTAAAAGATAGAGTTGACAAGAGTCATAAATTTTTATTTACTATATTAAACCTTTCTCGGCTTCCTCCACTCTAGCTGTACTCACCATTTTGCTTTTCTCTTTTATTTTCTGCTCTGAGAGCTCCCATCCACCTCCTCTGGTGCTGGATTTCTGTGGGCAGCGGTTCCCACCTTTGCAGTAATTTCCCACAGCACAGGGAAATCCTCTACTTCACGAGGGCATCCTGCTGCTAAGTCTGTTTCTCTGCTCTTTGTCTGGCCAGCACTGTTCTGTCTTCCCTGAAGCCCATCCACTCTCCAGGTTATTTTGGAACCTCAAGCCGTTCAATGGCCTCGGGGTCCACAAAGACAGTGCATCAGCGAGGGCCCTGGGCTCCCTGGACAGCGCTCGCCATCCTTTCTAGTGGACCCAGCCTGATCTGCAGTCAGCACCATGGAACTGTAACCCGAAGAATTAAGTAACTGAAATGATGCCTGTTACATTAAGCATCTTCTAAATACTTACAGTTTTGAAGCACATTAACCTCAAATGCAAAGGGCTCTTCTAGTGAGATTTATTTTTAAAATTCCCTCAGAGGTGGAGAAAATACTCAATGAACAAACGCAGATGGACTAAAATAACATTCAGGTCCCTTTGTGTTTTCTGTGAATAAATATTAGCTGGGTTTTTAAAATTCAACATAGAACAGAACAGATGCTATGTCCACAGCACCATACTCCCTAGGGCACTGGTCAAGGGGTCTGCTCCGGGATGGTGGCAGGGCCTCCACCTGGCCCCCCATTCCACACCACATCTCCCTGCTTTACACTCATGGGCTTCAACACTATTCTCATTTCACAGAATGGGAAAGGAAAAATGGAAAGGCAGACTTTTTAAAAAGAGAAAATATTCCAGTGAATGCTCAGAAAGATGTTATCCCAGTTAGAACGTCTTTTCACATGAATCACTAAATTCTCTTGACTCCCAAGGCCGCAGAAAAATGTGAATGAGATATTTAGTTAAACCATGAATGAGACAAGCACGTTATAGCACCATTAAGAGATGGAAAAACAGACAAGCAAAGAAGAGTAAAGGGTGGAGAGAAAATGAGAAGAAATAACAAAGTATGACTTCCAAAAAATAAACAGGTATGTGCAGATGAAATACACATTTTAGTTACCACCTAATTTTCCTAAAAATTATACTGATTACCCCAAACATACACAGCTCCCACAAAATTAAAACTCAATCTCTCCTTAAATGAACAGTGACCTAAAGGGAAAAAAAAATTAGTTGAAAGTCATACCTTTCAACTTTTAAAAGCAGCTCAACCTTTAAAAGAAAAACTCTATTCGCCCAGTAAAAGAATTACAGAGAATCAACATAAAGGACACAAAGTCTGACTCCATCATAGAGGAATGGATAAAGAAAAAGAAGAAACTTCTTGTATAAATAGGAGACTGAAGGAGTGAATGCAAAGGTAAAATGATCAGCTTGAAACAGCACAAATGAATACGAAATACAAATTAAAACAACACTGAGACTCTACCCAGAAAGAATGGCTGGCATCAAGAAATCAAATAATAACCAATGCTGGTGTAATGGTTGATACATTGTGTCAACTTGAGAAGTTTAGAAGGTAAAGCAGCTCTGAGGGCGGCCAGGGTCCTCACTTTGTAAACATCCTCAGCCTGTGGAATCAAAGAGCATGGCGATGGTGTGACTGCTACACCCGCCTGCCCGCCCGAGAGGCTGGCAGCAGCCTGCTTACAGTGCAAGAGTGGGAAAGAGGCTTGCTCCTCCCCAACTTTGGTTCTTGCTGCTTTTGCTGTCTCCTGCTGTCCTGAACTGCTGCCCCTGTGCCAGGCCACCTTCTTTGGAGCCAGCTGATTATGGACTGAAACCTCCACAAACTGTGAACTAAATAAACCTTTCCTTCCTTTATTTTGGCTGTTGGGTATTTTGTCTCAGCAACAGAAGAAAAGTAACCAACGCAGCTGGTGAGATTGCGGGCAGGGTGGGGGGAATCCTCCTTCTACCTTGTTGGTGGGAGTGTAAACCGATGCAGTCACTGTGGAAGTCAGTATGGAGATTCCTTGAAAAACTAAAAACTAGAGGTTCCATTTGACCCAGCTACTCCCTTTCTAAGTATCTTCCTGAAAGAGTTAAAGTCATCATGCCACAGTGAGCCATGTGCATCCATGTTTACAGAGGCACAACTCACAACAGCTAAATCTTGGGAGCAACTTATGTGTCTATAAATGGATAAATGATAAAGAAAATGTTATTTATATACAGTCAAGCACTATTCTGCCATAAAGAAACACAAGCTTGAGTCATTTGCTGGAAAATGGATGCACACTGAGATGATAATTATCTGAAATAAATCAGACACACAAGTTTAAATATCACATGGTTTGTCTTCTATGAGAAAGCCAAAATATAAATAAAGAGCAAAACAGAGGGTGGATATAGGAAGTAGGGAGACGGGATTTTCTCAAATGGGAAGGATTCAAGAGACGGGAGGCAGGACAGGAGGGAAGGGAAGGGAGATGAAAGAAAGAATTCAGACGTGTCCCACACATGTACCAGCTCCTCCTGATGAATGTGATCATCACACACTACAAACATGGATTAAGAAAAGTTACAATTAAAAAATACTGTCAAACTGCAAACTGTGGCCTCATAATATTAGAACCGACTTTCTTCCTGGAACTGGCCTCTTCCCAGGACCCTTCAGCCTGTCACCTGCTCCCTGCTGTCTGGATGTGACGGAGCTTCAGCCAGGAGCAGCCACCACTCACGAGGAGCATGGCCCGGCCCCGCTGCCCACCCTCCTGTCCTCAGGCTGGTCGTCCAAGTGCCGTGACACTCCTCCTTCAGGCCGCACGGTGCTGCTGTGACTACATTGCCTCTTTGCTGATCTCCTTGGCCTCCCTGGCAGGCCCTGTGCCCGGGAAATGGGCAGTTCCTTCTCTGTTTCCAGAGCATCCACCCAAATCTCTCACAGGAACACAGGACCCCAGCCTCCCTGCGTGACTGTCCTGTCCACCACACAGGAGCCTTTTCTGTGTTATCTTTGCAACGAACTGGTGAGCAAAAAGCTCAGTGGTAGGGAATACAGCCAAGTTTCCATCTCCGAGAGCTTTCAGTTAAGGCTGACTATGTTAGGAGAATCCCTGCGCTGGGTAAGGGCTGTGACCTGCCCCATGGCTGTGTGACAGTCTTTCTGTGTCTACACATGTCCTCTCCTGTTCGCTCACTCACACTGACTCTACCCAGCTGTTTATAATGCGGATCAAAAGGAATCTGACTTTTTACCAGTCTGATCTTTGTCTAAGACATGACCCATTGGTAAAATCATCGCAGGGGGCCCATCCCCAAGGCTGGCCTCTGCTGGGACTCACTGAACACGTCTCCTCTGGGTTTCTGAGGGTCTGTCTGTATCCTGTTGTCCACTGTCCCCGCCGGGGCAGAGATGCTGATGCCCGGTGCTGAGGTTGTCAGCCTGGTTCTTGGCCATTCTGGGGTGGATGGCGGTGGCATGCTGAGCTCTGTCGGCAGGGCGAGTGGCGGTGGCAGAGTGGGCTGTGGGGTCGGCTTTGGCACAGGTCTTGGCGTTGGCTCAGGGGTGAGTCTGCTGGTAAGGACAGGAGGGATGTACGGTGTCCTCAGGGGCCACCGGGTACTTCCAACCTCAGGGATCCAATTGCTTTGTCCTCCGTCACCCTTGATAACGCTTCTGTTTCCTGTCGGTATGTGAACTGGACCTGAGGGTTCGATCATGACTTTGGGGATATCTGAAAGAGTGCACAGATTTTAGTTAATATGAGATCATTTTCCTTTAAAAGTAGAACATCAGACTGTAAAGAAGACACACGAAGACATCCTACACCCACAAGGCTGCCTTTCTGTAGATTATTCCCTACAGCAAATCATGCTCTTTTCCAAATAACAAATGTGTTTGGATGTATGGAAAAAGAATCAGCATCTCTACAAGGAATGTGTATCCTCTGAGACACAGAGAACTTTCATGTGTCACATCTCTCTGAGCACTACAGTGTATCCTGTATCAACTCTAATAAATCCTTCTCACATCGCTTCAAAAATAAAAGTTTTAAATATTTCAAAGTGGAAGAAGCAAAGTTGATAAGACTGTATAAACAGGACCTTGTTGAGCACTTTCCAGGGAGCACTAAGAGCACCCATGCTGGGCCCCGTGTGTAATAAAACTGGGCTGAGAATTATCTAGAGACTGAAACTTCTCACCCGCAATTCAGGTAAATTCAATTAATGTTTAAATGGTTTGACTAAAGGTTCCACATACTGTGTTATAGTTGGTGTTCCTTTCCACTTGCTAATTTATACAACTGCTCTCTAAAAGCAATTTTCAAAGATTACAAAGGCCATTTGTGGAAACTTTTCCTTGAAATATTCACCAAAAACAATCAGTAACCTGCTGGAATGGCAGCCCGCAGACGAGGAATGACAAACACATGACCCTTCAGGAACTCTTTAATCGCCTTGATTTTATGCCCCCTGGTTTTCAGTAAATATTTTACTCTCAAAACTTTAAAAATTATCTAATGTTACATGAAAAGTATGCTAAATTACGGCCTTTGGTTTTAAAACATTCATCTTGGAGACTGTGCATTTTCTCCCTGTCTGCCTGGGAATACACCTACGGCTCCAAACACGGCTTTCAAACTTAAAAGCAAAAGTTCTGAATGTAGGGGAAATAAACATGGAAATGCTCTTTTAATAGAATTAGGAGACCTCACTCAGACAAAAAAATATGGCTATGATTCTTTACTAATGCTATTTGATGCTAATACCAAACATTTATGTCCAATTTTAACAAAATTAATTCTCAAGGAAGATTTTAATTTTGTTTCTAGCTAAAAGGAAGCTGTAGAGAGACTTCAGTCCAGGAATTCTAACACTTGTAAGATTACAGTGTATTACTGGGCTTTTAAAAATACACGAGCTGGTGATGTCATTGTTTGTCAAAAGCCCAGACTCGAGTTATAGCTATGAGTGCAGCAGCTGCCTGGCAAACCCAGCCCCGGCGTCCTGTGCAACACTGTCACTTGTGGAGGATGCACAGGAGCGGAGGCCACAGCAGCAGCAGCAGCAGCACAGCCACACAGCTAAGCCTCGGAGCCGCGCTCAGCCCGCCACGCAGGAGTGACGGCACCTACCACAGGGAGCCCTGCGCTGCCGCACAGAGGGACAAACCGGAGCCCGGTGCGGTGAGACCTGATGCGAGGGAGACACACGGGACACACGAGCTTCAACAGCGCATGTCCTACGAGAACCCCGACGTGTAAATAAATTAAAGGACAAAATGAAAAATAACAGGGAACATGGCGGTAGATCCTCTGTGAATGGGATGAGGAGCAAGAGATGGAGGGGCAAAGGGGGGCGAAGGGTGAGGAAAGAATCCAGACGTGTTTTGCACGCGCACCAACTCCCCGCAAGGAATGTGACTGCAACGGACTGCAAAGGTAGCCAATATAGTTCTTTAAAGAAAATGTTTTAAAAAGCTACTCACACACGCAGCTCAGCCCATCGCCCTGGTAACCTTCTACACACTTGCACACGTATGACCCGTGCACGTTGTAGCATCGAGCAAAGCCGCTGCACTGGTGCTGCCCAAGGGCACACTCGTCTATGTCTGTGCCAGAAAGCAGAGGAGAAAAGGTTTGTTTGGAGCCAAACACGAGGACATTAAAAACTAAAGTCTCAAAGAGGAGTGTGTGTGTGTATGTGTGCGTGTGTGTGTGTGTGTGTGTGTGTGTGCGTGTGTGTGTGTGTAAGAAAGAGCATCAGGACTGAAACCAAGACCTTCACACTAAATGACAACCCCAGCCTTTCCTGTTTTAATTTTGTGACAGAGTCTCACTAATTTGCCAAGTTGCCCAGACTGGGCCCAAACTTGCAATTCTCCTGTCTCAGCCTACCAGAGTGCTGAGATTACAGCTGTGTGCCACCACACCTGGTTAGGATTCTTCTTTTCATGATATGAAGGGCCGTGTAAAATCAGAAGAGAAATGGACCTGAAGCTGGTAGGGGTTGAGCTGGCTGTCGGTTGGTTTAATTTAATGCTGGTCCCCTCCGCGCCCCTCCCCTGGCATGGAAGAGACCTCTCCATACCACAGGAAGAAATGACCATACCGTGACACTGGTATTTGCCTCCAATGTACATGAGGTCAAAGCCTTTGTGACACTTGCAGATGTAACTGCCAAAGGTGTTGACGCACTGCCTGAACCTGGGGCAGGACACCCTTCCTGTGGCGCATTCGTCGACATCTAGAAGCACAGGATAGATGACTGTGTCTCAGGAAGGTCTGATCGGGCTCAGCAGCGTGTACCCGACAGTAGTCACTGGCAGCCACAGCTCATCAGACGTGGCATCCGGCTGGCGGCCCCAGGGCCAGCACCAATCCTACTCTCCAACTCCAGCTCGCCCTCTCTCTACACTGCCTGTGTCTGCCCGAGGCTGCACAAATGAGAGAATCCTCATCTCCCTGCCAGCCCCGTGTCCCGTCCCCCGTCCCCCACAAAGTCCTTCCCACCCTGTCTGCCTGAGGCTGTTCCAAACCTCTGGCTCTGGCAAGGCTGCTCCAGGGGCTGGTGGCTGGGCATTCTGTTGCCAGCCTCGCCTCCTAGAGCCCCTGCATTGCACATCAGGTGGCTCCCTCCACGTAAAACCAGAGAGTCACTGTGTCGAGGGCCACGTGTGCACCCGGCCCACTCGCTCTTGGACTAAACCCATGCTTCTCCCGAATCCCACTCTGTCCTGGCTGTGATGCCCCCTGCACCCCACATGCTAGCTGCTAAAGTTGCAGTGGCCTCTTATTCTGGATCTGCAGGTGCCAGCCCAGGCCGCTCTAGGGCCCCCTGATCACTAGATGTTTCTCTCCTGCATCTCCTGTTAACATGACAGGGCTCCATAATCCCTTCGGGTATTTTCTTTTCTGTCTTCCCACTGGAATGTCAGTTCCACGGGGTTGAAATCTTGCCTGCCCTGTTTGTCGCCATCCTGCCAGCACCTTGCACACAGGAAGCACTCGCCAAGTGCCTGCTGGTTACCCAGGACCTTTGCCCATGCTCATTTCAGACCTCAAAATGGCTCCAGGCAGCTTCCTCCCCATCTTCAAGAGGAGGAGACCCAAGCTCCAAGAAAGGAAGTCGCATCCTAAGGGTGTATTTTTAGCACGTGGCACAGCCAGGTTGGAAACCAAGGCCAAGGCTCACCACATTTCTCCTGCTGCCTAACTCTCCAGGAAGGAACCCAGCAGAGCAGCACCTACAAGCCAGCCCTGTCCGCCTGGCCTCTCCTCTTCCTCACTCATCTTCCATGGCTCACATCCTAGAACACCAGCTCTCCTGTTTCTCTCCGGCCTCAGGGCCATCACAGAGGTCCTCCGAGAGAGCTGACCTTCTGGAGGACGCAGCGAACTGCCTCTGCTCCGTCACCCAGCGCTGGCCCCGTCTTCCTGTGCACACAGAGGCTGCTGACAGACACGCAGCGCCACACTCACCTACACAGGTCCTCCCGTCAGGAGCCAGCCGCAGGCCCGGGGAGGGGCACTGGCATCGGACCTGTCCCTTGATGACGTCACAGCCATACTGACAGTTTGCCATGGAGCACGTCAGGGTGCCTGGAAAGAGTGACTGTGACTCAGAGGTGGAAGCCAGAACCTGGAACTGCAGTCCACTCATCCCAAAATCAGTGACCTTGAGTCAACAGGGACAGAGAGGCTGCTGTGATCCAGCACTCTGAAGAAGTACAAAATAGGGGTGGGGCACAGAAGGACCCCTTCCACAAGGCTCTCTTGCAAGTGAGCCAGCATTGTCACCCTCATGCTTTGGAAAAATTTGTAGACAGATGGGAACTTTCCCTCACACGGACTATGGGAACTTCTCCCACGGCCAAGGAAAGTGGAGAACAGTATTTTTCAGCTGCGAGTTGCTCTTAAGCCAAACATCCAAGTGACTGTCACAGCTGAAGGCTCTCCGGGGGACAGAGGGACAGGGGACCCCCTGCACGCATAATGTGGATCCTAGCATCACACGTCATCCCGAGAAGGCCCATCTAGGCTCACACCTCGCCAAGTGCAATCAGCAAACCTTCTCAGTGTCCAAAATGCAACCTGGCTAATTGGTACTTTGGTAAAAATAGAACCCAAGTCATTAGTTGCTCAATATCAATTTGATATCCAGCCTGCAGAGAATCTCAGGGCACTATCTTTTATGAACACATTCAAAAGATGGCAGGGATACCGGCCCTTTCTTACAAAGATAGGCATGAAATCTCTTCCAACATTATAGCCGCTTATATTTTACATTTTTTGGAAAGCTTTAGACAATTAGAAAAGTCTAAAGTCTTTAGGCTATTAGAGAGTTATAAAAAAGCAGTGAGAAGGTATTTATGAATGATTTCTAATCACTCAACAGACCTGATGCATTCCCTCGGATCAGTACCCAAATAATCACTACCGTTCTTTTTTTCCTACCTAAAATAGTTCTTTTGGGCCCCATACATCATGAATAAAAACTCTGGATTTAGGATTCTTGTCCTAAATACGGTTTCCAAATCCACACTGACATCCATAGTAAAAGAAGTTCACACCCCCAAAGTGAGCACCTCTTAGCTGGTGGCGCTGGTCACACTATAACCCCAGCACTCTGGGAGGCTGAGCCAGGAAGATTGCACTCAGGAGCCCAGTGGCAGTGAGTGCTTAGCTCAAGTTTAAAACTAACCATAAAAACAGAGCCAGGTATATAGGTCAGTGCAAAGGAAAGCCCTGCGTTCCAATCTCAGTACTGACAAAAATAAAGCAAAATGAGCCCCTCCCATTTGGATTCCAGCTCCTCAAAGCCACACGTGGACACACGTGGACACAGACAAGGAGGCCTGGAGGCTGCTTCCACAAGGCACGCTGGGGAAGGCCGCAGGTGACAGCGGGGATTCCGGCCATACTTGCGCAGGAGCCATCGGGCATCAGCATGTGGCCATTGAGGCAGAAGCACTTGTAGCTACCGAACGTGTTCATGCAGCGGTGCTTGCAGGGCCGAGGCTTCAGGCCGCACTCGTTCAGGTCTGGAAAGAAGCAGAACAGAAAGTCACACACCTCTGAAAGCTTCTCAATACTGAGGCCTGAGGGAGGTCCTCCGCTCTGTACAGTCTAGACTGATCTTAGAGCAAAAAAGAAAATTCAGTTTCCTACTTTAGTAATGCACTCAAGTCACAAAACTTTGAAAAAAATTCCTCCAATGTATTTTCATTTTTTAAGCGGGGAAGAAGGGCACACAGAATTGCTCATGGACGCTGGTTACGCATTTTATGTTCACTGGTCTAAATATCAAGATGAAATGAATTAATGAAGCCCATAGTATGAAAGTTTTCCAAGTTGAGCACCGTCTCAAGTGAACATAAAACACATAATGACATCCAAACACTGAAACAGGAATGCCCATTACATAGACTGCGTTAGGAAGCAATGTGACCACGTTTGTGTACCTGATCAGCATAATTTAATTACCTGCTAATCCATGTCACTGAATACTAAATACGGATACTATATCTACTTAGAAAGCTGTTTTCAAATCTAATCAAATTTAAATGTGACCTGCTCACCTATCAGGAATTGATGTGCTTCGTGTAGATAAATTACTGTTATTTTTTAAATCATCAAATAATTTTTTAACTAAAAATATCTTCATATCTTACTATCTTCTCAACTTGGTATTTTTCTGTTCATAACAAAATGTAAGCAGGTCCCCAACTGCGCAAAGCTGAGAAAGGTCTTAATGAAGAAAGCAAACACCTTTGTTCTTTCCTACACTTTAGTGCTCCACTTTATTGTCTCTGGCCTGGTCAAGAGTTTTTTCAAACAATAATCAAAAGGAAATGTTTCTCCTAGAAGGTGCTTCGCAGATGACACTGAGAAAAAGTTGATTTCTGTCTTTATTAAAACAAAATAAAAGTTGAGGAGGACTGACTGAGAAGGAAATTTTTCCACCTTGCATTTGAATATTTATTGAAACTCTGAGTCAAGGAATCTTCTCTCCACTTCTAAGAGGAGTTAATTATCATTCCTAGTATGTTCATGCAGAGTTGCACTTGGCCTGGATTGGCCCTGATTGATATTACACTAAATAGTATTTAAATCTGAATATACTACAAGAAAGAAGCTTTGTGTTTTGAATGTTTTCTGCAGTAAAAACTAACAAAACAGCACTAGAAAATGAGAGTACAGGGCCATTGATAGATTTAAAAAAAAACACTAAGGACTCCTAAGTTTATTTTTAGAGAGTCATAGAACTTCCTGCGGGCTCCTGCTGGGACTGGTCCAAGATTCCCAGCCCCAGGGACTCTACACAAGGAGTGTGTGAGCTGGGAGACCCACTTTTGCGGGCTGTGGCTGTCAACACTGAGGCTGCAGGGCAGCTCTTCAGCCCTGGCTGCAGGACTGGCCCAAGGCAGCCCCTGGGGACCACTAGGGCATCTCCATACCCCACAGCACTGCACTCCAGAGGCACCCTCTCCCCACTGTGGGAAAGGACTGTGGGATTGGAATCATGAACCGAAAGGGAATAAAAACCATAAACTCATAACTCCAGAGAAATCTGGAAATCACGCTGTGAAGCAGTATGGACCAGGAAAACAACACAGCCTTCCGCAGTAAATGCAGAGCTGTGTCTCGGCTGCTTTGTCTTTCTGCCTTACGTTGGGCAAGCACCAGAGTAAAAGGAAAGCAATTGGACAAAGCCACATGTCACAGTGTTGATAAGCGGTGATGTCCCCGGCAGGTGGTCCGATTATTATCCCCAGTGGGGCCATCACTCCTCCACCTGCCCCAGGCCAGCTGGCTCCTAAAAATGTCACCATGAGCCTTACCAGACCGCCTCAGACATAAAACACAAGTCCACAGCCGCCAGGTTTACCAGGGAAATGCTGCCGGCCCCTGGGGAGCAGCCCCTGGCTCCTCAGCGCCCTGGACGGTGTCTACTCTAGAATTAGTTGCCTTATATTTTGCATGCTCTAAAGCCTTAACAGGTGAATTAATATGCACTGTTTCTAAGAAATGCTGCATTCATTATGACAATAAAGTTATTTAATCAACAATATTGTCATTACATATAAATGATAAATTAATGATACTGTTCCTATCATTAGAAATTCAAAATATGAAAAGTCTGCTTGGTCTACACTGTCTCAGATCTTAAACGCTGCTAAGAGAAATCAGGGGATAAAACATTAGTGTTTTCATTTTGAATTTACTTCAACCTTGCTCTTTCTCTGGAAGTGTCTGATAAAACATAAAATATCAGGAAAACTTATAACAAAAAATGTAATCAGTTCTATCATGTACCTGCCTTACACAGAGGACAGAGTTTCATAATTAAACCACTTACATTCAAATGGTTTACATGGGATGGACTCGGATCCGCAGAGCATTAGCGCGAGAAGCGCATTTGAGCAGGGGTGAGAGGGGAGGGAGATGGTACAGCCCATGCAAGCTGCACAGCTTTTTACTGCGCTTCAGGAAAAGGGGGTCAGGGATGATCAGCATGCAGACATTGATAAACGGCTTGAAAAAAGTGAGAAGAGATTCACTGAAAAAGATAACCCAATAGGGTTTTCAGAATCATCTTTTATTTATTTTAACGCATTTGACTCCCCTTTGATGCTTAAATTGGGTGGTGTGTCAGGAACCTACGTTTTCAAAATTTATCTGATGAGACTAAGTTCACAGGCAAACATGTTAATGTATTAACTTCTGGATCTTCAACTGATTAAACTACAGGAAGATATTAAATGTGTCACATTTCTTATCAGCTGAGACCATAAAAAGCATTTTATTTCAGTTATTCTAAGTTCCTGAACCTATGAGCAGGTAAGGAACAAAAATCTCTCAGCACAACTGCAAAGTTATCCGACCACTTTACTTTTCTGCAAAGCTTTTCAGCGTGGTGCAGAGGTTAAGATTTGTGGTGATCCTGTTGTCACACCAAGCCCACAGGCAAACAGGGCAGGGACTACTGTTCCCCCAAGACTGTTGGTTTGCTGAGAGACAGACACATGAAATGACCTGCTCACAGAGTCACTAGAAGCAGAAAACTTATTTCTGACACTGCAAAATGCACAGTGAAAGAAAGAAGCCAGAATGCACAGCGATTCCCAGGTGAACCTAACATTCTACACCTCCAGGAGACAGGGGTGGAGAAGGAGACTCATGGCTCCTAACATCCACCTGGCAAGAGGCATCCGAACCCCCAACTCAGTTGCTTCCAAATTCCTAACTTGGCCTACATGCAAAAAAAAAAAAAATTGCTACCTGCTAGCTGAGTTTTGGAAAACATTTTAAAATCCAGAAAAGAGAAGAGAAGGCAATGGTAGGGACACAGTAAAAGGACAGTGAGGCCCCGTGCTTCGGGGGACAGGGAGGGAGCAGCAGAGGACAGTTCCTGCCATGGGCTCCACGTGCGCGGGCCAAGGCTGCAGCTCCTGGCTGGACTCCAGCACATTCACAAGAGGTGACACAGCGGCAAGAAGCCGTGCGAGGACACAGCAGGCCACCTGCGACCATGCGCGCTCACCCTGTGCAGGTAAACTGGTGGCTGGGTGATCCGGGGGGTGGAAAGGAGGCTGCTCACTGCCTTGGTCAGGAGGAGCTGGGTAGGAGAGGTCGCCTTCACAAGAAGAAGGTAACGAGAGTCAGCTCGGAACTCATGTCATTTTAGCTCTAAAATCTTTACAAGTACATATTAAACAATTACACAAAGTTGATGGAATTTAAGAAGAACTCTTTAGATACTTCACAAAGGAATAGTTTCTATTCTGTCTTCTGCTTTTATTTATTTATTTATTTATTTTTTGCGGTATGGGGGATTGAACTCACAACCTCGCACGTGCCAGGCAGGCACTTATGTCGCTGAGTTAAATCCCTGGCCCTGCTTTTATTTAAATTTTATTCTCTTAAAACCTTGTATCATCTTGCTTTGTAAAGGTAATATGCATGTTATACATTAACAATGCAGGGTTCTGATACCATTTTTCCTTTTTTTTTTTTTCTTTGTACCAGGGATGGAACTTATGACCTCGTGTTTTCCAGGCAGGCACTTAGTCGCTGAGCTAAATCCCCAGCCCCCTCATACATTTTCTTAAAACACTAAAACAAGAAATGGTCATTTTTAAAGTATGATTTTAGTCACCAACAGAAAAGAACGAACAAAAAAATACAAATATGATTATAATGAACCTACTCTGTTTAGGGCTGTTAAAATCTTAATAGTTTAAAAAGTGCAGAAAGCACATGCAAACTTATGCTTTCCATGAAGATCTTATTTAAATAGTAGCATATTAGTTCATCAGTGTTTTCATCCAGGAGAGTGCATACCACATTTAGATCACACTTGCTTGATTAAAACACACACAGAAGTTTTACACAAAAAACATGGCTGCCAATGTTAGCTGTTATGGTTTACATCTAAAATGGCCCCAGAGCATTCGGAGGTGGAGCCTGGTCAGAGGACGTGTCCTGGAAGTATCCACTCTTGCCCTTTGCTCCCCTCTTCTCCTCATGCTTCCTCCTGCCATGAGCCGAGCAGCTTTCCCGGGCCAGCCCCTTCCAATGTGCCGTTCCTGCCGTGGAGCCGGCCGACCACGGACTGAATCCCCTGAACCACGGACCACATTAAACTGCCTCTCCGTTAAGTTACGGGTACTGGCTACTGCGTGTCAGCAACAAGGAAACTAACATCTTACCTTCACAGCATATTATAAAATAGATGAGACTCAAAGCAGAGAGCCAGAAAGTCCATGTCATTCTGTTTTACAATGGGTTAAACCTCCAAATCAAATGCATATTCATTTCTGGGGTGGAAATGACACTTCTCTCAAAATGTAAGACTGTAGGGAATACTACCTTAATATTAATGTTAAAGTACGTCGGCTGATGTTTAATAAAGCAATCACTTTCAAATATAACAAGTATCCAAATTTAGTGTCTGGAAAACTACGCTATGAAAAACTAATTCTTTTCTTTGGATAAGGAATTCAACATATGAAACATAAACCAGGCCAAAACACTAATAGTTGATAATTGATATTTATAAATTATTTCTTCTGAAACTAAAGTACACTGTAAATTCAAAAGAATATCTTTCATTTTTAAAAAAGTGTAAGAGCTGATTATCTTACTAGTACTGGTTTGGGGACGGAAGAAGCAGGAGGTGTACACAGACAGAGACCTGAGGTGGAGGAAAACCTCTGCATGAGTAAAGCTGCCAGAGACCTGAGGAGGGCCGCCACAGGATCACGGCAGACACGGTCAGAGTCCAGGACAGAATCTCATCTCCTGTGGAAGGCGCGTGGGCCTTATATGACAGGTTCACAGTCAGCCCCACACTACAACTTCCTACCTGATCTTGGGGAACAAAGCCAGATAAGGAGGGATAAAGAAGCAAGAGTGACCCCGACAGCAGTTACACCCAGCAAGGCTGGGAAACAGAGCCTGCTCCCAAGTGCCGCTTTGCTGGCTGCCTGCTTGCTCCCAGATGGCCCTGCATTTACTCACGCCCTTTAGCCCGTGGAGCAGCTCCGGGAGGGCTGTTCTTCAAAGCGTGTAACTCAAGCGAACTTCTCGGCCCATGCATGCCACAGACCAAACCTGCTTTGAACCAAGCAGTGGTTTCCGGGTCCGGGAAATGCTTTCGAATTCACTTCTTGACATTTCTCTCCGGAGGAAAAAGAGACTGTCCTGACTGCTCCTAGAGTTCACATGTACCTGCAGCGCTCTTACACTCTGTGGGCCGAGCCAGAGGCGGCCTCACAGGACAGCCTGCTTGCCTAAGCATGGAAGGGTCTCCGATGGCCCCACACTTGCCCGGTGTCTGCCTCTTAACCCTCCCTCAACCTGGCGGGCTCTCGGTCCACAGATCAGAAATCATCTAAGCGATGGCACCAGACAACTTCATGGGACTCTGCAAGTTCCCGGAACACTGAGAACCATGAACCACACTATCAATCCATCGTTTATTTAACAGATCTTCACTGTGCACATCACACATGCAGCTCACTTTCCTAACAGCCTTCAGGAGCCCAGAGACCAGAGACACAACACAGGGGTCCTGCCGATGGCAGGACTCAGGAATGCGCCAGGACCGTCTTCTCGTTTGTTTTGTAAGAACAGTGGTGCAAAAATGACTAAAATGCTGCAGTTTTATTTTCAAGATAGGGCTTGAAGTTACATTTTCAGGCTGTGTGCTATTCCTGCAGGTGTAAAATCACCACTATTAAAAATCTTCTCCGCCCTAAGGAATATCTTGGGAAGGCAAGATTTTAACTCAGCATATTCCAGTTTTCTTCAGAAAACTAGGTATGTGTTACAGGAAACATTCTATGGGAAACTGGCTTTCTCGAAATCAAAGATGCCCTGTGATAGAGCTTGGTTCTGATAATAGTTTTGCTGTCTCTGAACAACTAAAGTTGATGTAGCTCCTGTGAATAAATTTAAATGAATTTCTCTGCCATCTCAGAAGTGGCTTCTTAAATAGTCTTCTTTCTGTAAAGTCCTGGCATCGGACAACAGAGTTTTTATAGTGTTGACATGTTAATGAGGCCTCTGAGGTTACGGTTACCACATCAAAAGAAGATACTCAGACTCTGAGATGAATGCTGACAACTCAATAACCAGTACACAGCAGCAGGCTGCCACTTGTGAACTCACTGGGCTGAGAAGGAAAGTCAGTGAATTTTTAAAAGACTCAGCCAAGATAATAAGAACGCCACTTATTCCAAAAAGATTACCTAAGTGTCTTTGGTAAATTCCAGGTTTAAAAGAAGTATTGTAAGATAGAAGGGGAGGCCTGGGAAAATCAGCTGCAAATCAGATGCTGATAATACAAGAATGCGCTTTAGGACATCGGCTTCCTCTGCCACTGGCGCTGGTGACATCACTAGAGTCCATTTCATTGCCTACACTCTCAAACGACTGTGCTCAGGATGGTTGCAAAAACTGTGACCATAATGCGCGGCTTGTATGATGGCCCTCAAGGAGTATCTGGAATAAATATCAGATCCTAAAGTGTTTCCACAACATTTCTGTATCAGATGAAGTCAGATAGGAAGGGGGCCTTTGACTCCACATGGTTAGTTCATATAATATTTAAAATTAGAGGGAGCATTACTGTAACAAGTAAGAGCTAATACATTATCTTTTTCTTTTCTCAGTAAAATCTAGCCCAAAATTTTCTTTAATTCTAGCTTTGCAATTCACCATAGTTGCAAATTTTAGCTAAAATTAACTAAGAAGAAAAGACTTTTTGGTTAGAGTCTGAAGATTACATTTCTAGTGACACAGCAGCTGTATCATCCAAAACCAAAGTGGCAGAAATACTACAGATTATAGAAACAGTATCTCAATCCAACATTCTAACATTTTAACCAACTATTTATGTGAACTTGGGTAAGACATTTAATACCCTCTGAGCTTCAGTCAATGAGAAGCAGAATAAATAAGATATTATTTATACCTTTACTATGATAAATAACACTCCATCTCCCAGTATTCTTGCAAGGGGAAAAATAGATTTTAAATATACAAATTCTAGTTATAATGGGACACTGTATCAGAATAACATCTGTGTTTATAAGCATCTCATGCTGATATTTTAAATGCCCTCGTAAATTAATCATCTTTATTTCTCAGAGGCCCATTCCCACCGGCACAAAGCTGCAGGGAGGTTTAAACACATAATCGAAAGACTCGGTGTGGGAAGGGACCTCCAAATTCCAAGTCCCACGCCCCATGGCTTTGGAGACTAACGGCGACCGGCTGGGATGTGAGGAAGCTCGCCGTGTGAGCGAGGCCTCCTTCCCCTCAGTCAATGGAAGAATAAAATGTTACTCCTCTCCATCACTGACACTGATTCTTTCTTAGAAATACATTTCAGTTAGCACCAGGGAATCAACAATAAGGGACCAAATTAGTTTAACTGTCCTGAGAGGGGAACAGAACGGTGAGCTTCACCATGGTTCTTTTATCCACTGGAGGGCAGGAGGGCGGCTACGGGGGCACTGCCCTACCTTGATTGCAGGTCTTCCCGGCATATCCAGGGTGACACTTGCACTTGTTCGGCCCAACACATTCGCCATGCTTGCACTGCGGGTGGCACACGGCTGTGAAAAGAGAATCGTGCGTGATTCCAGGTCAGCTCCACACCAACCAAACAGCACTACGCAGTGGAGCAGTTTGGTAACCAAAGACAAAAATGAAGTACTCTGGGTGGCAGAAAGAAACAGAATCTCTGCTTTCTGTGGACACAGTACACACACTTACAGGTCGTACAGGTATGTGTGTGTCTATGTGGGTTTGTATCACTAGAGGCTGGGAAATTTTCCAAACTTGAGGTCAAGACTCAAATCATTAAAAGAACATAAAACTGTAGTAGTCATAACTGACGTTTATCTACAGCTTTTCAATAGCGCATCAGTAATTTCACATTCATTTTCTGAAGTCCAAAGATACCCAGGTATGTATAAAATCCAGATAAATTCAATAATAAAATGCTTATTTAATCAGAGGCGATCATCTAAATATAAAATGATTCGAAGTGAAGCACGATCTAAAGCAACATCTTGACACTTGGGTTTAAAGCTGTCGCCACCCGCCTGGCCTTTCCCAGCCCGAGGAGCATTAGGATCTCTCCCCAACCCGTAACGGCTGTTCGCGGCAGGCAGGGCTGGTTGAGCTCGCAGTCTAATCTCTGCTCTCTTCCACAGACTACACTCCACTTCCCCCAAGAGCTCTGAACACTGTAAATCACCACTTAAGTCTTTCCCCAGTGTGGGTGGAATTTATTCTGTTCACATTCACGGTTCCCAGCTAGGGCTCTTCAGTCTGTCCGGCACATATGCCAATGCCCTGGGACGCTCTGGCTGACACATGTGTAGGAGTGTGACTGGCTCTGGGTGGACAGAGGAAAAGATGCTGCTAAGCATCCTAAACCAGATGGCCCCCCTGAAAATCCCACAGTGCCTAGACAGCTTGCTCCACACTGTACCTGGCACAACCATGATGCCAGGCCACATACCACACCAGACAAAAGCCCAGGGGGCAGCTCTCTTCCTGGTTTTGGGTGGCCTAGAATCCAGAGGAATGGACTAAAGGGTTTTTAATTCAAGGTGAAAGTTTATGACTGAGCAGGGGTTGTACTGGACCTTGAAACACGTAGACAGAAGCACTATGTGAGAAGTGGCCACACAACAAAGGGACCACAGTGAGTGAGAGGTCACTCAGGCCGTGTTCATCACTGACAAGATGGCAGATGCCAGGGAAGAGAGAAGCAATCACCCAGGAGTAATATCAGATGGGGCTTCTCAGACCTCACTGAGGAACACACACAGTGTCTGTGGAGAAGAGGACACCTCCAGAAGTTCATCCTCCAGAAACTGCAGACATAATGGAAGCCCTGGGGACACAGGCAGGCTGGTCACATTCAGGACGCACTGGCAGGTGTGCAGAGGCAGAGAAAGCACTTTGCACACCAGTGAGACCACGCGGGCACGGCCTGTGTTGTCAGCGGGACACAAGATCCTCTCCACACGCTGAGCAAAAGGCAGGTCGGCCTTGAAGATCCCGGGGGAACAGCCACAGGGGCCTCGAGGTCTGCCCCCCGCCCCCCGCGCCTGTTCTTCCCACAGCAGCCCATCTTGTCTGCCCTTTGGGTCCGGTCCCGGCTTCCTGGCCAAACCTCCAACACTACTGCCTGTAAAGCTGCACAGGTGTGCTCCTGCCCTCTGGGGTGTCGCCTGCATTCCCTGACCCCCAGCCCGTCCCTTGTTAGCCTCAGGAGGCTTCTCTGCTAAGTCCAGGTTTACTTGCTGCTGTTACCGCCCCTCCCTCGACAGTGCGACAGTGTGGCTCAGTGTGTGTCTATCTCAAAAGCTTGCTAAGAGGACAGAGTAGGTGAGAGGGCAACGCACCCCAAATTGCCTACAGCCTGACTTTAGACATGGCATTAAACTCCAGGAGAGATGATTTTGTTGCAATTTATGAGAAAAAATGATCTAGAAGGACCTCCTAATTATACCCTCAGTGAGTTACACACACAGTGAATGTGAGCATCATACACAGTGTTTAAAAAAAAAAAAAGTCCCAGACAGGAGTCACTCTGCAATTTCCAGGCTTCCCCACCAAGAAATGCAAGTTTTCAAAAGAAAAATTTGATCTTTACAAAAAGATAATCCATGAATATGAATACATAAGAACACAACCTGAATAACCAAGCATTACACAGACATCCACAGCGTCATGTTAAAAAAAATTAACATCTCAAGATCATTACATGCCAGTCAAGGTAAAAGCCCTCTGGAATACCTATAATTTGAAAATATCATTCAGAACATGACAAAGTAGTCCAGAAAGTGCCATTTGAGAACATGAAGAAGGATTTCAGCAAAGGTTCTTATATAGAGGGAACAGGGAGTTTCAAATTAAAAATTAAGCATGCTCTGTGTCTTCCCCTAAAAGCATGAAGAAGTTTAGTTAAGAGCATTTCGAGGAACAATTAAATGCCCCCCCCCCGCCCTGGGCAAGTTGCCTTTTGACCCCTGGCCAGCTGCTCAGCCATCCGTGCTTAGGGCTCAGGTGCTCTCTAGGAACAAAGGGCTCTTGTGTTCCTCCGTCCTGTTGAGCACTGTGCCCCGGCTGGGCATATCACATGCACACATTCCAGGAGGTCACACCCAGGGAGGCAGGTGTGAAGCAAACTGCCCATCACGCTTCCACCTGAGCGGTAACTCCTAAGTGACCACGCTCAGCTGCCAGGTCAGCCCCAGGCTGGGAAAGGACAGGACTGCCATCTCCCCAATCAGTCCACCCTTTCTACCTAGAGAGAGGAAACTCTGAGGGCTTTTGACAAGGACTTCTCCCATGCTGGTCTCTGGTCTGGATTAGAGTTCCATCAGGAGATGTGTGACATCTGTGATGTATTATTCTACATAAATGTGAGGCAACGAGAGGGTCCCAAAGAGTGTGTGACATGTTTCTGCTGCAAACAGGGAGATGACAAAGCGGTGACAGAAAAACAGGGGTGAGGGTGACCTGTAACGGCAGGTCCTGGAAAGGCCCAGGTGTGAAAAGAGGCAGCTGAGGCCACGGACAGCTTTCAGAAGCCAAACCCCGCGCGGGGAGCTAATGAGAGACTCGTCAGGGGGGTGAGGCTCGCTCCCCGGCCAGGGTGTAGGGTGCTGAACACTGCAGACGTGATCAAAAGGAAGCTCAGCACGATGACACGGGCCAGCTGGACTCTCTGGATGCTTTCCAGTCTCTTCCTTTCCCTTTCCCTTCGTCTTTTAACATAGAGGAGCTCTTGTATTTTTATTCTTATTGTTTTGAGTGGGAGATGAGTTACACTTCCTCTCCCCCTCGGCTGATGACACAGCCAAATGACTAAACCCTGGTGGGGATGGGTGAGTAAGCAGGGGCACAGGGCTACAGGCAGAGGGCTAAGGCGGCGGGTCCTAGGGTGCCACAGAGAGGCGAGGCACTGGCACTACGTCTATCTCCATGTTTTGGCCTGGAACACGGACATCTTGGCTGAACTGCAGTAGCCTTTACGGCCCTGAGGTGATCCTGGGACTAGAAAGAACAGTGGCAGTCATAACATGAACTCTAAAGCCTTTGTGTCACTCTGACTTCTGGTCAAAGAACTGACTGTCCTTGACCTGCCTGTGGAATCTGGACTTAACACATTTATTATCAATAGAGCAAAGGTTGTGCACTTAGGAGTGAGGTGTTAGAGGCAGATCCTGAATTTTGTAGAAACAAAATTCATCAAGTTTATTTTGCAATTGGAGCACCTTAGGGTTGAGGAAAAAGTATAACGTCATCTCTGTGTCTAAGTACTAGTTTGGAAAGTACACAGCTACTCTAAAACTAGAAAAAAATGACCCCCAACTTTGAGGTAAACAGGTCTGTCTTTCAGTCACTTCTCTGACTGCAAAATAGGTCTCAAGGGCCAGCAAAAACCAACCTTCATAACATAAGTCTGTGAACAGCAGTGTGTCCACCTCCCCCCACAAAGAAAAGAAGGACAAATGATCCTTTCAGTCAGCAGATCTTCTAACACATGGGAAGCAGGTGCCATGCTGGACTTGGGGGTGGGGGGACTCCTGTATCTGCCAAGGGACAGGCTGACCAGCCGGGCAGTCAGAACCATACACTGTGGTCTGCTGTCCCTGGCACCCCATCTGGTTAACCAGCTCAGTTAGTAAAGAACAGGTAAGAACCACATATGTGACATTTTTCCCCTCAAAGCAGTGACCAGAATTAAGACAAACAGATAAATGACACTTAAAATTTACTAACATTCCTATAGCTTAATCTCCAAAACTGTCCTTAAAATAACCTGCAAGTCATTGTTTTCATTAGAAAAAGAAACAAGTCTCAGCTGGCAAAGCAAACACAGCTCTGTAATGTCACACGTTCAGCCCTGCTGTTCCACAGCAACATAAGATTCTCCTCTTAAAAACACATCCTAATGCCAGCGAGATTGCAGGGCAGAAAGGAATGTAAACTAGTACAACCACTACGGAAATCAGAATGAGACACCTCAGCAACCTAAAGCTAGAAATTCCATCTGACACAGCTGTTCCCCCTCTAGGTATCTTCCCCAAAAGACAGAGGTGTCATATGACAGGGACCCATGCACATCTGTCTGTGGCAGCAGGACGCACGATAGCTAAATCTCAGAAGCAGCCTGGATGCCCATCCACAGATGCCTGCATAAAGCAAATGTGACAGCTACACCCGATGGAATATTACTCTGCCACACAGATAAACTTGCGTCACGTGCAGGAAAGTGAATGCACCTTGAGACATTAAGCCAAGTGAAATAAATCAGACACACGGTTTAAATATTGTATGGTTTCTTGTACAAGAGAAATCCAAATTATAAATAAAGAGTAAAATAAGATAGATGACAGGAAGCAGGGAAAGAGACCTGTTTCAAATGGGAAGGTGACCAAGGAATGGAGGGATGGGGTATAGGGAGAGGAGGGGAGGGTACCCGATAAGAAAGGAATTAAGATGCGTGATGTCCATGTACAACTCCATACAAGCAGTGGAAACATTGTCTACTGCAGACATGGCCTCATAAAAACATGCTCACACATGC